GCCAGGCCAGCCTTCTGCTCTCAGGACGTGAGCTTCCTCTTTTTCCCTCAGCTCTGGGGTTCCCATCTGCACACCCAGAGGCTCCCCTCAGCCAAGGAGGGGACCAGTCTTTCCATGGTGAACGTGTGCTGGCCGCTTCAAAGGGGTGCCTGGAGCTCCACGCCCAGGGTCACCTCCCTGGGTCCAGGTCCGGGCCGCTGAGGGGAGCCCCGGAGAGGGGTCAGGGAGTCCAGTGGCTGACTTTTCTGGCCTCCCTTCCTTCTGCTGGGTACCGAGCACAAGAATGCCTATTCCTAGGCGATTTTAGAAACCAAAAATCCTGGAACCTAAAAAGACTCCGTTATTCTTATTCTTTTTTTTTGAAAGCCAACTTTGTCGTTCACCTCCCCCTATTAGTGAGCTCCTTCCTCGATGAAGTACACTGAGCCATGGGCGTCCAGCTGTCCACTTGGGCGTCGGAGTGAGGGATACTCATCTGGCCACCTATGAGGAGCCCTTCTAGACTCCTAGGTTTAGGGCTGGCGGCTTAGTCTCAAATAGTACCTGATCAGCAGTTTTGGCTCCAGCTGGTTTACCTTCTGTCGCTATAAACACTCTACTCAAGTCAATGTGCCAGAGCCGGAGTTTCTTTGTGGTAGAAGCTGAGTGAGGGTAAAGGTGTGCCTTTTGCACACACCGCAACCACTCTCTCCCTGTTCTTTCCGTTGCTGTTTATAATTATTAAGCAGATGTTAGATGCCGGGGACTCTTCTGCTCCCGTTTGAGCCCCACAGCCTCTTCAGTGGGACATTGTTAGGATGTTGGCGTTCCATGTTCACAGGGAGGGAAACTGGCACGTGGTGGTGGTTGACGTTAGATGCCCCCAAGTCAGCTCCTAGCCATGGTGGCCCTGTGCACGATGGAACAAAAGCTTGCACGGTCCTGCGCCATCCTCCCGTGGTTCCTGTGCCGGAGCCCATGGATGTAGCCACTGTCGGTCCATCTCATCGAGGGCATACCTCTTTTTCACTGTCCCTCCACTTGCCCCAAATATAAGGTGACCAGACGTCCCAGTTTTGGCAGAACAGTCCCATTTTTTAACAATTTTTCCTGCATCCTGCGGCATTTTAAAAAAAAGTCCAGATTTTTTTGAAAGAATGCATGACAAGCTAGAATATATGGTTTTCGGCTGCCATCTGGCTGTTTCGCCAGGATATGAGTTTTATCAATGGTGTCCCGCTTTACCAATGTTAAAATCTGGTCACCTTACCCAAATACAATGTTCTTTTCCAGGGACTGGTCTTTCCTGACAATATATCTAAAGTGTGTAAGATCAAGTCTGGCCATCCAAGACAGATCGGTTTGTCTTTTGAGCAATATTCTTCTCCAGCAACACAATTCAAATGCACTGATAATTGTATAGTCTTCCTCATTGAGTGTCTAACTTTCCCATGCATATGATGCAATGGAGAATACCATGGCTTGGGTCAGGCGTACCTTAGTCCTCCCAGAAACATCCTTGCTCTTCAATACTCTGAAGAGGTCTTGTGCAGCAGACTTACCTAATGCTATGAGTCTTTTGATCTCTTGACTGCTGCTGCTATGGGCATTGATTGTGGACCCAAGTAGGACAAACTCCTTGACAAGTTCAACCTTTTCTCCATTTATCCACATGTTACCTATTGGTCCAGTTGTGAGGAGTCTGGTCTTTCTTACATTAAGTTCTATTCCAGACTGAAGGCTACAATCCTCGATCTTCATCGGCAAGTGCTTCAATTCCTCCTCACTTTCAGCAAGCATGGTGGTGTCATCTGCATGAAGCAGGTTAATAAGCCTTCCTCCAATCCTGATGCCACACTCTTCTTCATAGAATCCAGCTTCTCTGATGACTTTCTCAGCCTACGATTGAACAAGTATGGTGAGAGGATACAACCCTGATGCACAACTTTCCTGATTTAAACCACGCAGTATTCCCTTGTTCTGTTTCCCTAACTGCCTCTTGATCCATGGACAAGTGCCAACTGAGCACAGTGAAGTGTCCTTCCCATCCTTCTCAAGGTTATCCATAGTTTATTATGATCCACACAGTCAAATGTTTTTGCATAGTCAATGAAACACAAGCAAGCATCTCTTTGGTATTCTCTGCTTTCAGCCAAGATCCATCTGACATCAGCAATGACATCCCTTATTCCATGTCCTCTTCTGAATTCCACCACAACTTTTGACAGTTCTTTGTCAATGAATGGCTGCAACCAGTGTTTGATGATTTTAAGCAAAATTTGACTTGTGTGCAATATCAATGTTGTCATTCTATAGTTTGAGAATCCTGTTGGTCATTTTTCTTTGGAATGGGCACAAATATGGATCTCTTCCAGTCAGTTGGCCAAGTAACTGTCTTCCAAATTTCCTGGTGTAGATGAGTGAGTGTTTTCAGTGCTTCTTCAACTTTCTGAAACGTTTCAATGGGCATTCTATCAATTCCTGAAGCCTTGTTTTGGGCTAATGTATTGAGTGCAGTTAGAACTTCTGTTCATATGCTGTCTCCTGAAACGGTGGAATGCCAACCAGTTCTTTTTGATAGCATGACTCTATGTACTCTTTTCATCTTCTCTTGATGCTTCCTGTATTATGGTAGTTATATAATCATCTGTCAATGTGAAGGGGTGGAGTCTAGCTTGTCAAATCAGGTCATAGCCAATGAGGCCTCTGTGTGAGCATGGCCTTCTCCTGAGGATTCTGGGAACTCCTGTCTTCCTCCCTGGAGGTGGGAGACACTCTCCCTCTCAGCTCACTTCCTGGGAGACATTGCAGCTGACAAGACACATGGAACTATGCTAGAGCCCTGAGAGCTGGAGAAGCCACATGGAGACCCCTGACAGCACTGAGATGCTTACAATGCCACTGGATCCACGATACTTTCCACCCACTGGCCTGTGATCTTCCTGTATTTGGCATCATTGCATGTGTTTCGTAAGTCTGAAGAGGGCTTTATAGATTGGTATCAGACATATGGGCTAATATCGGACATATCGACTTGATTTGGACTGAGCTGGGATGTTTTCTCAATATTCAATTACTCTTGTATAAAGCTCTTTCCTGTACACATATGAGTGTCTATGAATTGTTTCTCTAGTATACCCGGTCTAACACATATATCATTCATTTTGCCTATAGAATCTTTCAAGATTGCAGTTCGAGGCTTGAATTTTTTCTTGAGTTCTTTCAGTTCCAGACATGCTGAATGGGCTCTTCCCTTTTGGTTTTCTAATTCTAGTTTTTGAACCATTTTTTCTAATATTTGGTTTTGCCTTCTCGAGCTTCCCTTTGAAGTTTTCTACTCAGCTCCTTAACTTCATTCTTTCTTCCATTTGCTTTAGCTACTTTATGATTAAGAGCAAGTTTCAGAGTCTCTTTTGGCATCCACATTCATATTTTCTTTCCTTTTTTTTTTTTAATGACCTCTGCATTCTTCATGAATGATGGTCTTGATGTCTTCCCATAGCTCATAGGTCTTCTGTCATTAGTGTTCAATGTGTCAAATCTTTTCTTGACATGCTCTCAAATTTTAGGTGGGATAGACTCAAGGTCATATTTTGGCTCTTGTGGACTTGTTTTAATTTTCTTTAGCTTTGTCCTGAACTTACATATAAGCAATTGATGGTCTGTTCCACAGTCAGCCCCTGGTCTGGTTTAGTCACTTATACTGAGCTTCCCCATAGTGTTTCCTCACCGATGAAGTATTCCACCTGGGGAAGTGTATTCCATCTGGGGAAGTTCATGTGTATAGTTACATTTTGTGTTGTTGAAAAAAAGATATTTATATGAGCAAATCATTGGTTTTGCAAATTCTATTACACAATCTCTAGCTTCATTTCTATCATCAAGTTCATATTTTCCAACTATAGTACCTTCCTCTTTGTTTCTAACTTTTGTATTTCAATCACCAATAACTATCAATGTATCTCGACTGCATTTTGATAAATTTCAGACTGAATTTGTTGGTAGAAGTCTTCTATTTCTTCATTACTAGCTTTTGTGGCTGGTGCATAAATTTGAATAATAGTTTTGCATTGATTGGATTTCCTCGAAGGCAAGTAGATATAATGCTATCACAAACAGCACTGTACTTCATGATAGATCTAGCAAGATGCTTTGACAATGAATGCCATGCCATTCCTTTGATTGTGTTATCCCCAGCATAGTAAGTTACATGATTTTCTGATTCAAGATGGCCAATACCAGTCCATTTCAGCTCACTCATGCTTAGGGTATTGATCTTCATGCATTCTATTTCATTTTGGGCCACTTTCAATTTTCTTAAGTTCATGCTTCAAACATTTTAAGTTCTGATCATTAGATGATTTTTTTTGCAGCTAGTTCTCTTTACCTTGAGTCATGCCCCATCAGCACATGAAGACCCTGAAGTCTCCACTCCCACTACCTCTACCTGACTCATGTCTCTCCTTGTCATTAACATTTCAAATGCCCTTGGACCTGAGGGACCCAGCCTCCAACAGCATTTCCAACCATGTTCTGCTTCCTTTTTTGCTTTCAGTATTTGAAAATGTTTCAAAGCTATGCATAAGGTTTTCTTCTTACGAAGTGGGGACCCACTTCGATCACATGGAACCAA